TTAAAATTTACCAGGAGAGGACAAAATACCGAATAAACTCTTAAAGTACGAAGGACCAAATTTAACAAAACAACTACTAAAACTAATACAAGACATACTAGAATAAAGTAGAGTACCACAAGAATGAAGATCAAGCGTCCTAATATCTCTCTTTAAAAAGGGAGACAAATCAGACCTGGAAACCACGATCGAAAGTATCTACCAAAACAACACAATAAAAGTGAAAGTAGTAGAAGAACTAACTGACTCAATTGAAGCTGGTAATGGGATAAGACAGAGAGATTTCCTGAGTCTTTTTTTGTTCAACCTGATCATGGATAAAATAATAAAAAAGTGAAAACTAAAGAGGATACCAAATTGAACAAAAAAAAAACAACTTAAAATAACTTACTATGCAGACGACGCAATACTGCTCTCACAATGAAGATGATTTATAACGTATGCTGCATCAATTTAATATAACCGCCAAAAATTATGTGTTAATTTCCCAAAAGACAAAATGGTTATAACAGCAAATTCAACAATATGTAAATTGGAGCTGAAGGTCATACAATAGAACAAGTGATGGAGTTTAAATATCTAGGCATCACACATCGTAAAGCTCAAAACAGAAGTGGAAGATGAAGTATATACACCAAACAGGGCCGCAGATTCCCTGGACTGGGAATCTCTTAGACACACGAACACAAAAAACTGCATCTATGGTCTGGAACGACGACCAAAGACAAACAAAAATGAGGTTGAAGTTGCACTAAACGCAAATCTTGGACTTGGCTTCTTAAAAACTTAAAAATGGAACATTTTGTTATTTTCAAATTTGTTGTAAACGACACAAATCTCTTAGATACTTAGATAAATAAAAATTGTGATTATTCTTTTGAAACTGACACATTACATAGAGTATAATTCACCATCTTCAACAAATTTTGTCGGCTTCTCCAAACCAAATACCGACGTCTCTTCCCTTTATCAGATCTTCCAACTTTATTTAAACTGTAACTGAACTATTAACTGCCACAACACACTACATATTTTTCATAAAAATTGACGTAAAATAAGAAACATTACGAATTTTCAGTAAAATTTGGACCAACACTGAAAGCAACTGCTTTTGACAACGGCCTTAGCGTGAGTGATGTAATTGTTAAAAATCATTCGCTTCCCAACTTAGTATAAACAAAACATATAAACTGGAATATTTCGTTCACATGACGACAAAAAATATCTTAAACCGGTTTTGATCAAAAGAATAAAAAGGAAATACACATCTGTGTTACATAAACAAACTTTTAAAATGTGTTTATATCAACTTGGCGATGCAAAAGAGATCGAAATATATTTCGGTGTTTTAACTTGTACCACGACTTGTACGATAGGAAACTGAAATACATTGAAATTATTCCTCGGTGTTTTAATATATATACGAGGGGATTTCAGTATATAATAAGGAGTTTTAAAATGCTAGAATACATAAATATCAAACAGTCTTACTCAAAATGTCAATCAACCTATTCGATCAGATGTAAAAGTTGTGGGTAATAACAGCGATAGTGAGGAGCTAGCATCAAAAGACAAAGTGTGGATTTATGCCGCAAAGTATAAACAATCTTATAGTACAGAAAAATTGGAAACATATCTACAAACAAAGTTCCCCGGACATGAGTTCTCGTGCACCTTGTACGCGAACAAGGTAAATGGATCAAATTCCTTCAGAATCACGGCAGATGCAGAATTGAGGGATATTCTTTTTCAACCACAGACGTGGCCGAAGGGCATAGAGGTGAGTGAATATTTTTTTCGCAGAAAACATTCCGGCGATAAATCTTCTAGATACATCAACCGAAAAAGACAGAAGTGAAAGTGTTGTATCTTATATTAAACCAAAAACTTTAGCAAACTCTGACCAGATTAGTCTAGTTAATATTTTACATGTAAACACACAAAGTTTATTAAACAAAATAGATCAGCTTAATATTTTTTTGAAAAATAAAAGATACAATATATTATGTTTCTCTGAACACTGGCTCAGAGAAAATGAATTAACAACATTAAAGCTTGATGGGTATTTTTTGTCAACTTTTTATTGTAGGAAGGTAAGGGAACATGGAGGTGTTGTAATTTTTAGCGATAATAAAATCCCTACACGACCAATTTGCTTAAATGATATATCATGTGAATTTGAGGGTGAATTTTGCGCATTAGAAATTATAGATATTAAAACTATTTTGGTGACAGTGTATAGAACCGGAAATGGGAATTTTAAAGTTTTTCTAGAGCTATTTGAAAAGTTATTGGAGTTTTGCTCTGCTAATTTTTTAGAAATAATAATAATTGGTGATTTCAACATTGATTTTAAAAAATCTTCTAATGAATTAAACAGTTTCCGTGATCTAATTTCTACTTTTGGATTAACCATAAATATTAATGAATTTACTAGAATCACAACTAGATCAGCAACTTGTTTAGATAACATCTTAACAAACATAAGCAGTGAGATAGTTGGTTGTGGAATTGTGGACCCGTGTATTTCTGATCATCATGCACAATTTCTCTACTTAAAAATAAAATCTGAAAAAAAACATAGTGCTAATCCATACAGAAGACATATAACAAGTAATGGCATCCGGATGTTAAAACAGTCGTTAAACAACGTTGACTGGGCTTCAGTTGGTTATCTCAACACAGCAACAGAATTAGCTCAATTTATTACCGAAATGTATGTTAAGTTAACTGAAATTAATTTTCCATTAAAAAAATCACGAACTCATAGTAAAGCTCCAATTTCTTGGTTTGATGATGAATTAATAGAAATGCGAAAAAATCTTTCCACAGTCAAGATAATTGCTGATGTTACAAAGGAATATAGTGAGTATAAAAAATTTAAGAAGCACTATAAATCAACAATATCATTAAAGAAAAAACTGGCTTATGAAAATTTTTTTTCCAGTTCTGAAAATATATCTCGTGATAGTTGGAAAGTTATAAATTATCACAGAAATAAATTTCAAAATAAAAAAGTCTGTCCAAGCGCGATTACATCAAACGATTTCAATAATTACTTTACTTCAGTGGCTAAACACATTAGAAGTTCTTTTAATTCTACAAATGAAAATGTAGCCATAGATTTTTTGAAAGATGTACACTCTCCTTGCAACTCTTTATTTTTATTACCTGTTAGTGATACTGAAATCAGGAATGTTTTGCATAGATTGAAAAATTCACACTGCACGGATTTTTATTTCTTAAACAAAAAAATAATTGTGGAAACAATCGATATTATTATTGACAAATTAATTATACTTTATAATAATTGTCTTACTGAGGGGATTTTCCCAGATGTTTTAAAAGTAACAAAAGTGCTACCAGTGTTCAAAAAGGGAGCTTTAGATGAAATTGGAAATTACCGTCCCATCTCAATCATTCCCATTTTCGGCAAAATTTTTGAGAGTATTCTAAACGTTCGTTTGGTAGAATATCTAGAAAAACACAAAATACTTCACTGTAACCAATATGGCTTTAGAAAAAAGTGTAGCACTACACTAGCTATACAGAAAATTGTGAGAGATATAGTTGATGGCTTGGAGGAAGGTCATTTTGTGTCTTTGACATTGTGTGACTTATCCAAAGCTTTTGACTGTGTTTCGCATGAATTACTGTTGGAAAAAATGCATAAGTACGGTATCAGGGGAAACACTCTTAATCTATTTAGATCATACCTAACAAATAGAAAACAGGCAGTTTTTCTTAATAACAGCTATTCTGAGTTTAACACTGTCGAATATGGTGTACCTCAAGGTTCGATATTAGGACCCACTTTGTTTCTTATTTATCTGAACGATTTATTTCACTACACTTTTCCTATAAAATGTGTTTGCTTCGCAGATGATACAACTCTCATAAATACTGATATTAATCAGAATAATTTAAAAATTAAAATAGATAGTGATACCAAGAAAGCAAAAAACTGGTTCTCACATAATGGGCTAATGCTAAATGAAGAGAAAAATCAGAATTTGATTTTTAGTTCTGATTGGAAGTATATCTTAAGAAACAGTGTTAAACTATTAGGAATCTTTATAGACGATAATTTGGATTGGAGTGCTCATATAGATTACTTAAGTTCTAGACTTGCTACAAGTATATTTTTAATGCGCAACTTAGTTTATATGATTCCTAAAAATACCCTTAGAATGTGCTACTTTGCACTATTTCATAGCCATTTACAGTACGGAATAACTGTTTGGGGTAATTCTTCTTACGCAGATCGAATTTTTAAATTACAAAAAAGAGTAGTGAGGATACTTGCAAGAGCAGAGTATAGGGATCACTGTAAACCTTTATTTCTGGATTTAGGTATTATGCCACTACCTTCACTCTATATTTATAACACGCTGATTGAAATTCATGCCAACAAAGGTAAGTTTAACGTAAACTCCAACGTCCATGATCACGATACAAGATCTAGAGATGCTATTAGAGCACAACGTTTTAGGTTGACAAAGAGCGTAAAAAATTCGACTGACGTTAGTTTGTATAACTGTTTGCCAGATGAAGTAAAAAGTCTTCACTTGTTATCATTTAAGCATAAAATCAAATCACACTTTTTGAAACATTGTTTCTATTCAAAAACGGAGTACTTAAGTACAGCTTTTACACAATAGTACTAGTTTGGTCAGGGCAGTTGCCTATTATAATTATATTTCATGTTTTTTTTATAATTCCACAAAGTGTGTTTGTCGTTTTTTTTTTTAACTGTTAATATTAAATACATACATGTTTGTAATGTTTAAATTATCCAAAAAAATTTTATATGTTTTATAAGTATTGTCACTATTCCTTTGACTTGTCAAAAACAAAACTATTTTTGTATATTTGATTAAATAAATTCTATTCTATTCTATCGTGAGAAAATTTACTTACATGTTATTTAATAATTATTTAAAAATTAAAATTATTATTTAATTTAAAGTTCCTTTTGAATATGTTTTAATATGTTTTAGATAATGTAAAAAAATTTACTGATCTTAAATCGTCTAACCCGAAACTAAAAATTCTTGTTGCCATTGGAGGTTATAACGAAGGTTCTGCTAAATACTCAAAAGTAGCTGCGTCAGAATCTCTCAGAAGGACGTTCATACAAAGCGCTTTGAAATATGTGCAAAGTAATAATTTTGATGGACTTGATATCGATTGGGAATATCCAGCTCATCGCGATGGAGCTGCAGTAGACAAGGTAAATTAGTTGTGATGATACATATTCTTATACAGTGTGGTGAATCTTGAACGTATCATTAAAAACAAAATAGGATTTTTTAAACTTATAAATCTCTGCTCCATAGTTATCTGACAACCAAAGGCACAGAAAATTTTATATATATATATATATACATATATATATATATATATATATATATATTATATATATATATATATATATATATGTATATAATGTCCCTTGGATTGGAGCATTGGAGATTGCAGAAAAATAAAGTTAATTGTCTAAAAATAGAGGTTATTATTAATTACAAAATTATATGCTAACAAATTATACAAACCTAAAAATAGAGAATCAGCCATTATTTATTTCAATAATTATTAAATTATTTTATCTTTCTGACAATAGTTATAAATTAAAAGTAAAAAATGTCAAATGTCCAAAATGTCCTTTTTTTATATCCAATTTTTTATATTTCTGATTAAAAAGGAAGGTTGGAAATAAAGGAAGGTTTCAACGAGAACTTCAGTCATTTTCACACATCACATCCAATGTAAAATATGTTCCAAAATTAAGGAACCTCATGGTTCCACAACACAATTTCGTGGTCAATGGTCATCGGTACCTTGTATTTCCAACCTTCCTTTTTAATCAGATTTATAAAAAATTTGACTTTTTTATTTTGTCCTGCTTAAACGAGTATTTTTTTATCTAGTTGATTTTTCGTACAGTCTGATTTTCATAGAGAGGAAGCCATATTAATTTTTGATTTTCTTTTCGTAATAGTCATGGCCTGGAATCTTATATGAATGACTTGGTTCATTCCCCATCACTTTGACCCCAGCGAGTTAATAAAGAGAAATGACAGCCTATCTCTCTCACGAAGACTTTAACCAATCATAAACCAAATAAAATAATCAAACGACGCAATGTCAATTCTGTCAATCCAAAGTAATGACAGATCTTCCGTTTGTTTACAAGTTTTCAATTTTATTTTATTATCTTTAACTTTCGTTTGCAATTATTCTTAGTAATTTTAATTTAAATTTGGTTACTTAATTTTTAAAGTTTATTTTGACTTACCTATTGTAGCAAAAAATTTTTGTGTAGTGCTAGTAACAAAACTAAACATGGTGAATTATTGTATTGTTCCTTGTGTACAAATCATGGAAAAATTACAAAAAGGATGATAGTAAGTTTCAGGAAGCAAAAAATAATAGTATTTAACTTCTGCAAATATGTGTAATAAATATTATGTAATTATTTTATAACTGTTTTATCTTAAACAACAAATAAATATACGTATATCTAGAAAAAATGTGCATCTTTTATATATCTTATTTTCCAATAAATTTTAATTAGTAACGAAATAGCCCACAAGAGGCGCTAAAGGGTATGTATGTAAGGGGTGTTCATTCGAATTTGCCGCCAAAAGATGATTAGTATTGACCCCAGCCGCAAGGGTCCTAATGAACGAAATTTATACATTGAGTTGCCTATCTATTTTACTATTATATTATTTATCTATGGTAATAGTCGAGCATTATCTGTCAAAAATAGTTTTTTATTAATTTCTTTGGTGTCTCTAATAATAAAGTTACCTTTCCATGTTTTTTTTTTAATTTTTTTAAATTGTTTACCAAGCTAATTAAAACAAGTTACTTTTTCTTCTGGCTTCACGTTTCGGTATATTGTACCGTTCCCGTCATAAAAAACTGGTACAACTCTTATAACCATGATACTATGACTATAAGATAACATATTGCGCATGTTTTTGTGACGTCATTGGAGACTTGCACGTTCGAAATGTCAGTTTTTGTATATATCAATAAATAATCTTTAATAAATAGTTTGGAGATATCCTTATGTGTACGATTATTGTAATTATTAAACCTCTTAACTTATTTTCGTCTAGTAATTTCATCACAGAATGCATACAAATCTCATTTAACTTTAACAAGAATTCAAATTCTAGTCTCCAATGACGGCATGCGCGAACCCGACCGATTTTGAGCTACGGGAAGATCCTATCTTGTTATTCATAGTATCATGCTTATAACCGAAAATCGTGTTTTTCAAGTTGTGTAAGTTGAGCTTGTCACATATGTCATTCTAATTATGAAGGCAACGTTGTCAGTTCTACGAAAATATTATATCAAACCAGCTAAAAGCACAGCTGTGCCCATCGAGCAAAAATACAATAGAGGGAATGTAAAGGTAGTGGGGGCAAACATATTGTTAGACAGGAAGTGCGATCTTTAGAGGCCACATTAAACAAGGAAAGAGAGTCTCTCTCCTTGTTTGACATCAAATTTAGTTGGGTTATGTTATTGTTTGTCCCAAATGTCACATGAAATCTTATTTATATTGAAGTTTTTTAACAATTGTGTCGCATTTTAGACTCTTATCATTAATAATTAATTAAAACTTTCTCGTCTAAGACACATTCTGAAAAATATTATATAGCTACTGTTGATAAGTGTCGGAAAATTTAAATTTGGCGCATTCGCATTTCCGGATATGTCCGCCATCAGAGGCCACTTTTTTGGTCTCCTTTTCATAAGGATTAGATTCCCTCTTTTGTCTTATTGCTCGATGGCTGTGCCACAGGTCGCAAGTTTTTAGTATACTAAAAACTAAAACAATATCAAGTATTCTCGATCAGTAGGTCACATTTATATTTATACATTTATTTAAATATATATCTTAAAATATTCTATTAATTATGAAATTTTCCATTATTTCAGTACCCATACATTGATTCGTGTTTTATTATAATTTATGAAAATATTTCAATTCAAAAATAATGATAGATAATATATCTAGATATGACTTTAAATTTATGTTTACTTTTAAATCGAGAGTTGTGATTGTTTTCTCGTAAAGTGTAGCACAAAACTTTATTGAGTTGTGGAATACTACAGTAAATAAAACTCACTGGAAAAAATTAAAATTTAATTTAAAATTAATAAAAAATGAATAATTGTTACAGTGAACAAGTGTGGGATTTAAATATATGTATTACAATTCGAAAAGTTAATATTTTGTCATAGCTCCATTATCATTATACACTTCTTGTAATCTTCTGGAAACTAAGTTAACTAAATTTAGTGACAAATTTTCATTTTCGGCCAAGCTTTTTCAGGTTTCTTCAATGACGGTCCATAAATAATCTCTGTTTTGGGAAAATACATTTAATTTTGTATTTTGCTACTATTTTCAATCAGGTAATCCCGTACACGGTGGGCTGTGTGGATTGAACAGTTATCATGCTGGAAAATAAAATTATTGTTGGGGAGAATTTCCCTAACCGATGCGATGGCAGCATCACATCAACATCACAGAATCGTCCTTCAATTCTCCAACACATTTCTAAACCTCCTCTATACATCCAAGCCCAAACAGTTTATAGAGAACCGTCCAGACTTATCACTTGATGAAATATAGTTTTCGTTAAACCTATTTCGAGGCGGTCTATAAACCCTAATATGGCCATCATAATGAGACTGAAATACTTTTTCATCAGTAAAAATTACATGGTCCCAAAAATTGTCTGGATCATTTAAAATGTAATTTAAAGCAAATAGGAGTCTACTTTGTTTATGTTCCTCGCTAAATTTGTATTTTCTGGCGGCTGCACAAATTTTTAAGGATGTTCTTCTAATTCACTTTAATGCTGTAGTTATAGAAGCATTAAGTTTGTATTAGCTTTTGGTTGCCTTGCCGTATGGAAGGGATACGCTATCAAATAATTAGTTAATGTTTCATCTTGTTGGGCTGTAGTAATAACTGGTCTCCCACTCCCTCTCGTTCTATCCAAAGTCTTGTAGTTTTCAAATCTTTTTTTAATGTTGTGGATTGTGGTTTTGCTTCTATTTAACCATTGAGCCAGTTCTCGAATAGACCAACCATCTTCTATTTTTAAAATTATTCTCGTTTTATCAAACTGACTTAACTGACGTGGCATCTTTAAAAATTCACTTTGACAAACTTGTCAAATTTGACTGATGGCAAGCAATATTTTTTATGTTTAATATTTATTTTTAATTGTTCCGATATGTTCGGGAAGTTTTCACGCACTGATAACATCTGTAGATACTAAATCAACATTTTTTAATTATACGAGGATCTTTAACAGTTATAAGAGGATAATGTAATACTTTCACGTTTTAAAAAGCGTTTTTCGCCCCGGATGTTTTATAGTTTATAATCTACGTAGGACAACAGTTAACAGTTTGTGTTCTGTAAGTAATTGAAGTATAAAATTACAGTAGATGCATTCCAATGTTTCCTGATCCAATACCCTAAGTTTAAATATTGTTCAACATTTTGGACATTAGCTCAGTCCTCTTTCTGGTTATTAAATTATTGGATACGGTTTTTTGTTGTTAATAATAAAAATAATACCTATTAAAAAACTTTACACTTTATTGAACGTTATTTTTTACATCTTACGTTTTATTTAAATTTACTGAAATTCCTTTGTCTGTGATGGCAACAACGAATTGATTCACGAACCATTGTGTCCAGTCTGAACACAGGTTTACATTGGGAAAAAAAAGTGTACCAGTTTTATATGACGGGAAGTTTACATCAGCGATAGAATAGAAATTTTGTGTTATATTATATTGTTTTCTTGTTAACATACTGTGTCATTTTTGTGACTTTTTAATGTTTGTATAAATTTAAAAAAACTCTGAATGTGTTTTTTACTTTAATTTTATTGTAGTTTTTAAATGTATGTTCTAACAGCTAAACTTATTCGTTTGTCATTGTTTGACATCTTTATATGACTTTACAATAGATTAACTCGATGCTTTACAATCATTAGAACCATAAATATCTAGTCATCTATATCAACGTCATGTATAGTTGGTAAAATCTATATACAGTCCGTCCTAAACCCTTCTTTCTGTGCGTCATAGTTGTTCGAATTCTCTCTAACGCATTAAGCTAGAAGTAACAGAAAAAAACCTGTGATTAAAATGTAAGATATAATTGATACCAGCCACATATGTACTGTAATAATTGATTTTAATTAATAAGATTCTGAATCGGATTGTAGGTTGTTTGAAAAGATTGAAAAGAAGGTAAACTTACATTCGGTATCTTGTTTTTTAATTAAACTCCATTAATACTATATCATCTGGATACCAGAACTGGCAGGTTAACTCAAAAATCAAGTGCTTCACTATTTAAACTATTGTCACTATTTAATCATAAATCTTCACAAAATAAAACTATTGGCTGCCACGAAAATTATCGGAAAATTACTTTTTCAAATATTACTGATTTCAATCGATGTTATTTTATCACAGGAATGTTTGCTTTGATGCCTTGCAATTGCTAGTAAATTTTTTATCTCGCAGTCAACTCTTAAAAGATTCTAGGAGGAAGCGTTATTTTAAATAAACAAACATTTCAATTCCATAGTGAGCCCCCTCTATGGCTCAGTGGTAAGAGCGCCTACCTTTAAATCTAAAGGTCGTGAATTCGAATCCCATCTGGGTGGAGAAATTTTCGTTTATTAAAAATTAATTAATGAAAATAATTTCTATCCTTGTGCGATCGGTACTCACCGGAGGGACCGCAGACGTTCGGACACAATTAGCGTCCCATAGAAAAGACAATGACGTCGACTTTGCTAAGTATCAAGACAATTACTCTACACACACACACTACAGTAGGTACCTGACTGTACCATGCCTATGATCATTAGTTGTCGAGGCATTAACTCAATAAAAAAAATTCCATAGTGTTTGTAATAACTAACAATAAATTCATAAACAAATCTTAGCTAATTAAGCACTTTCCTTGGAGTGTAGAATAGGAATTATCACAAACAGCCGTTCCAATATAATGCGCAATAAAAAATTTTATACATGACGGGACCTCTAATATGTAAATTAAATTAAAATTTGAATTGTTAAAGCTTTAACTCCACATTTAAAAAAAAATAACCTTTTCAAATTTAGCCGATTACGATCCTGCAACTGTCAGATTTAATAAAATGTCATGCAATAATTCTCGACATTCTTAAAATCCTATATGACGTCAAAATTAGTAACGCACTGAAAGAAGGCTTTGGGACAGACTGTATTAACATATTATTATTTACATAATTTTAAAATTCGAGATTTAATAATTTGATAAAAAAATCTTCATCTCTTTACCATGTTTATTACTGAACGTTGACTGTCACAAAACAGCAATATTACTTACTGCACAGCACTGAAGCAGCTATAATGTTCTTCTTCGATCAGGACCCCTCTTTCCACATATTTTGTCATAAATAATAAGATGTGATCGTTGCTATTGTGAAACTCTTGATTTTCTTTAAATTTATTCTTTAAAAATGACAGTGGTTAATCAAGTTATAGTAGAAGGAAAAGTATAGTTTTCCAAACGTCATAGATTTTTTCTATTTTAATATTTTTTGAATTTTTTAAGGAAAATTTTGTAACATTACTAAAGGAAACTAAAGAAATATTTACAGCAAATGGTCTATTATTAACAGCTGCTGTTGGCGCTGGACATTCAATTGTTGCTCTTTCGTACGATGTTCCTCGTCTATCTAAGTAAGTATTCATAAATTATATTTTATTTTTAAATTATTAAAAATATATTTTTATTTTTATCTAGCTTATGAATTAATAGTTTGATAAAAACACCTATACAAATACTAAAATAAAATGAAACTAAATATTAATGTCTAATTTACACAGCCATTCAATTGCTTCTGAGGACCATTCCCGAAAGTTCTGGAGGTTTCCACAGTAGACATGATTTGAATAGTATAAAACACAGTAAATCATTGACAGCATTGTGAAATGAACAGCAATCCATTAAAACATCAAATCAGCACATTTACCATGTCCCGTACATATTTTATGCCTTGATAGTTATTTGGTCGATTAAGTCATAACATAAGCATTAGACATTAAACTATTGCTATTTTACTCGAATGTTAGAACAGATTAAAAGTTGACGTCCTCCCCACTGTAGGAAGGCATAGTCTACACGATGGTAGCAGTAGTGAGGACTATGTCTGATAAACTAAAGCAGCAGTTCTAAACATGAGAGTTGCTGCCATCTATTTTATGTACAAAAACATACACAAAGTACGCTGGGCGTCTTCTAGCAGAAAAAAAAAACAAGTCAGATTGCCGAAAATCGAGATAACCAAAAAAATATACTTATACTGGACCAGAATAAAATAACTTCTTGTATCAATAACAGAAGATCAGATACAAATACAAAATTATGCCGGGAAAAGCCATGGTTTTATAAGGAATGCAAAAATTCAATCAGAACAAAAGATAAAGCCTACTAAAAAATCTTCACAAGATCTTCTAGAACGAGAGTAAAAAGTTATCAGATAAAGAGAGAAAAAAAAACGAAATGAAAATACATAAAAAGCAAAGAAAAAACGAGCTGTAATATGTTGGATACCTTCATAGAGACAAATGATTGAGGACGATCTATATGAAAGTAACACTAACATAAAAAAATAATTTAAGCAAACGACGAACCAATACAAAAGCCTGAATGGGCAGTTATTATCGACAAGGAAAAACGTATGAAATTGATGTGTGAAACATTTAAGTATATATATATATATTATATATATATATATATATATATATATATGTTATGCTATGTAAAATTGAAATAATATTGGTTTGCTTACTATATTCCAAAGTACAAAATATAATAATTCAAATAATTCGACTAATAAACTATAAAAGATATTTCGAAGAAACGAAAGTCCATTATCCTGGATTACCTGTAGTAAACAAAATTTAAGATATGCATAAATTATTTTCTTTGTAAAATATATTCGAGTGACGTAAGTGAAATTAGTGAAACCATGAACAATGCGAGCGGGTTTTCCAAATGGACTTCTACAGTGAATAAGACAATATAATAGCAATATTTAGAAAATATATTTCTCCGTTTGTTCTTAAGAATTTGTAGAAACCGATTAGCATGTTAATAGTTTTCAGGAAATTTATAATCGTAGGTAAAATTCTTGTTTGTTATCTAATTAAAGAGATGGGGATAATTGGGACGAGATTTGATTGGAGGAGATTGAAAAAAGTGGTATACGTATATAGGAAGGAAAGTTTAGCTAGACTAAAAGATAGTCAGTTAGTTTTCAACGGTAGAAGGTGAACAGTTCCTTGTTCTCTGGTGGTTCCCCAGAGGTAGGAAGCAGTATAAGTAAATGTTTGTGAGTTTTCGTGGAGTAAGTGTATCAGACAGAAGCTGATCCAGTAAAATATTGTAAGTTATTTGTTATATTGTAATTTTCTACTTATATTCCAAGAGTCGCTGTTCAGGCCAGAACGAGAGATTCAGTTTATCGAGAGGAGAAGGGGCTAGCATAATTTGAACGATACATGTATTTGAAGGAGATCATTAAAGACGATAGGCTCGCAACAATTTGTTGTAAGATTGCTGATCACCTAGGGGACTGCTAAGAATAGATAGTGTAGGCTACAGGAACAAGGATTTGGACAACTCATCATTAGAGAGATAGTTTAGATTTATTCATCAGTTTTTCTTTATTACAACACATTTGTTTAATTGCTTTAGAAAAGATAGGAATATTTTGATCGGGAGATTTATTTATAGAGATTTATAATTAGCTAATTAATTGCTTGGCGCACCTCAGATTTTTAATATCACATTAATATATATATATATATATATATATATATATATATATATATATATATATATATATATATATAGATATATATATATAAAATAAGGATCACTCGAAGAGTGGCGGGTTTTTCGGTCAAAAATTGGAGAAAAAAGACAAATATGATGGATACTTCATCTATTTATTGAAAACGTTATCCAATTTGATAGCATCATCAGTTCATCTAAAAAGAACAATATAAAAAACCTAACATCCAATGAAAAGCTATTAAGGATGTTACCTCAAAAAGATACGTAAAAGTCAATGATATTAACAATTATTGTAAAGAAGCTTACGACAATGGACATTGTATAATTATGTTGTATAAACAATAAATTGAACTAAATATAGTTGACAATTTTCATAAAATTAGCACAGCAAAAAAAAACATGTGGTAGTTGTACATGTATGTTAAAAAAATTTAGGTAAAAAATTTATCATGTATAAAAAACAAAATTAGTGTAGAAAAGAACTAATAGGTCCAAGAATGCACTTCCAACAGTAATTTAATAAATAAGATTTCATTTTAACTTTAGGTGGCATTATTCTAATATTTGATTAAAAATTTTAGTAATTTAAAAGTAATAATGAAGTTACCACTGAGAGCTTGTCGAATGCTGCCGGTGAAATGAAGGCAACAGGTGTTAAACGTCAACAACGTGAAAAGACAGGTGCCAAGAGGTCAACGAATGACAGAACAACAAGGCGTATTACTACCAACTCCAGTACAATAGAGCGGTTTATTTAAAAATATGACAAAATTTGGTCCACAAACTGTCTGTAAAAACCAAAAAACTAAAAGGAAAAGGTGGTTGAGAACTCCTTTTTTCCCTCCAGTGATCGGTTGAGATGAAATAAAGAACAAACAAGAGAAGTCAATCAAACAAAATCATATGTTAATAGTCTACGTTAGCCAGCCACAGGGGAAGGATGATCAAACTTTCAACAGTCCAAGGTTCATCACATTTAGAACTGAATTTATAATAATAAAGTTGTGTTAAACTATTTGTATGGAAACAATTAATACAATTGTACAAAAGCAACGTTGACATGAAATCATGCAGTCATGAAATATAGGTTGCATAAATCTAGGATAATTTAAAGGAAGAGTTTATTATTTAATTTATTTTAATTTATATTTGAAAATTATTTAAAGAGAAATTATGTAAAGAAAACACCGTAGGTGACAATTTTTAAAGTAAATAACATAGTAAGCCTAATTCTGCAATATTAGAGCATGATAAATTTGGCTCAAGTTACTAATGTCAGTTCTCTTATTAAGAGTATTAGGGTGTTTAAGTATATGACACATTTTTAAAAACTGTCTTTTAACGAGATTACGTTCAGAACCAAGAATATTAACTTCATTAAAATCTACTTTGTGTTTAGTGTTAGTAGCATGCTGTGCAAGGGCACACGTATGCTTAGATAAGTTGATATCACTGCGGTGTGTCGTAAGACGCCCTCTCAGTGATCTCCCAGTCTGACCGATGTAGCACGAGTCACAATCAGCACAAGGTAAATGATAAATGACATTAACTTGTTTCAGAGGGGACAAGGGTGTTTTGGTTTTTGAAATCAAATTTCTGACAGTCTTGGCATTCTTAACCGCAATTTTAACAGGAATATTCTTCTTTTTATACAGTTTAATAAGTTTATCAGTAACATGAGGAAAGTAAGGTAAAGATGAGTAGTGGGTGGTAGGAGTCCCAAGTACAGTACCAGGCAGAACAGTGTCATTAAAAGAATTATTTGATATTATTCTGTTGGTCACCATTAAATATATATTTTAAAGAGGAACCATAGCTTTGTATAAAAAGGTATTCTTTCTCTGGGTGTGTGTCTTGCTCTGTCTAATTTTAATTTACTGGCCGTCTGTCCTCCACTAATCAATTTCTGTTGCTTCCAAAGTCTTTATGGCATTTCCTTCCATGGCCATATTTCTCTTCCATACGTAACAATATTTTCGACCATGCTATTATAGATTCTGTGTTTATTTTTCCTCGAAATTGGTTTATCTCACAATATGTTGTTCATTTATCGAATGACTTGTTTTCCCTGTATATTTCGGTGTTTAGTTTCTTCATTAAAATTTCCGTTATTGTTTATGTGTATACCTATAGATATTTATACACAATATAGTAATTTATTTGTGGGCGTTGCTCTTCTAAAATTAGATTTTGTTATTCTCCTCCTATACACGTGTATTCTGGTTTTTTGATATTTACTTCTAAGTCCCATTTCTGATATTCCCAAATAAGTTTGCGTGTCATGTATTCTAGACCTTCGTAGTATTGAGCCAAGACTATTTGGTCAACTGCAAAGCTTAGTGGTGTCGTTTAGAGTAATTTCCATACCACTATATTTCCTTTTCCATGTCTTCAGAGCTTGCTCCAAGTAGATCTCAAAAAAAGTCGGACAGACAGCATCCTTGTTAGAGTCCTTTATAACTTCAAAGTAATGTGGCAATGATAACTTTTGATCAGCGTGACCAAAGCTACATCCCTGTAAAGTTTTAGTCAATTTAACCGAAACCACTTTTACATTAGAAAAGTGTTGGGTCCTTTGTATTTTAATTTTCAAGAAAATGTCTAAAATACAAGCGTACGTTACTTAAATAAAAAAAGGATATCAGATAAGCTAGAGGAAGGTATCTAAAAAGGTTTGCTATATATTTTACAGATAAACGTGTAACCGCCGGAAAGTTAGATAATATGCAGCATAATAAAATATTTAGAAAAAGAAAAGTATTTCAAAAATTTTATATCAATACTTTTTTACAAAAGTGTAAGTGATATTTTGAATTTTAATTGATACTCATTACATATTTTTTACAGATACGTTGATTTTATTAATATAATGACATATGACTTGCACGGAAGCTGGGAAGGAGTCTTGGGACATAATGCACCCTTATATGCATCATCCAGAGATACCAATAAACAACTAAACATTGTAAGTTTTTTATACAAAATTTTTTTTTAATAGTTTTTTATCCTTCCTTGTCTTAGCGTTCCTTTTGATTTTTATCTCGATCTTACTTTTCATCTCAAATTAACATGAACTGGAAATTACCCATTTTCTAGTTATTGCCATTAATAAGAAAACTTAAAAACTACTGGAATTAAAAAAAAATATTGATATAAAATACAAAAACAACTGATATTGATAATAGTGTATATATTCTATTCCACGAATATACGACTGTTTTAAATTTTGTTTAAGGTATCGATTTAAATGGTCCAATGTACTGAATTGTACAATAGTAAATTCTTCTCACTTTTAAAATACTGTAATGACAGATATAAACCTTATTAAATATGAAGTCATGTTATAGAAACAGTTGTAATTCAGATTTTGAAGTATATAATTACTATCATTGAGTTTAGTATTGTAAATAAGTGTGGTGTTTGAATTAAGTGATTTAAACGAAGTTTAACAATACTTAGGCAATTAAATAGTAATTTATTTAGTCGAATATTCAATTAGTATTAAAAAAAAAACAAAAAACTTACTTATTCTCTAATTCTCCTAACCTCCTAAAACTATCATCAACCATTAGATTCACAGAACTTTACAATGAGAAAGTACATTAAATATAAAGTTGTCTATATCTAAAAACGTCTTGGCATTTTTGGCTTTAATAAACAAATACACTACACTAAACTCTCTCTTAACGGCACCTCTCTTCACTGGACACCTCTATACGGATGGTTTTTAAAATTAAAATCAGTTGGCGATATATGAAATTGTATGTCAATTTTCGTTACTTTTTAATCTGTAACGACTCGGTACTTTAACTATCAATAGTTGGTATGTTATACCCGTTACTTTCGAAACTTTTAAGAATACATTCACGCAAAGCAAACAAATATTTAAAACTAACAAAGTAAAATATTAGATCCTTTTTCTGGTTTCTGAACCATCGTTCTGCCAATTTCTTTTCATTTATATTAAAAATAGTATGTTTCTTTTATTGCAGTTGCAGTACCTAATAAAGTAATAAAATAGTGTAATAAACAAAGAAACCCTGCACGCCTCTTTGGTGTTTAAATTTCAAGGAAACCCAACCCAAATGTTTTATGAACACATTTTGGCTTTATAGACGTCATTGTATTTATTTGTAGGACCGTTTGCTTAAAAATGTTTGTTATTTTCGGATTAAATTTCACTATAAATTTTGCGTCTATCTGAACATCTATTAATTGAAATAATTTTAGTTTAATTGTCAAACTAACAGTAGATTAATTTTATTGGAATAGTGTTTAGACAAATTTACTTTCAAACCTCTACCTGCACAGCAAAACAGTCGTATATTCGTGGAATAATCTATAAATAAAATATAAGCAAAAATAAATAATATTTGAAGGAATATATAAAGTAGTGGTATATAAAGAAGTGGAACCATTTTTACCCCATTCTTTTTCTTCGCTAGATTCTTTAACTTGCTTCTTCAATATATGTTTTCAAATTATACTATTCTTTGGTAAGATCTAGTGTACTTTTTTCTGGTGCAAATACATTTCAAACACTTTTCTAAGTGATATTACATTTTTTGTCTTGTTCCATTAAGTTACAATTCGAAGCGTCTACTGAATGCTTATTACAGTAATTTCTAATAACAATCCTTTCACAGACATGTTAATTATATTTACTTATTTTTCATTATTTTATCATTTTAATTTAACCTGTGTGGAGACCTGAAGATGACCAGATAATTTTTAGAGTCGATACCGGTCATCCTATGCTTAATAAAATGGATTGTTAATCTAAAATTTATTTTTAAAACCCTGTTTAAAGTGAACTCACATGTGCAACCCATTCATTACTTATATATTTGTATTTTATCATGGAATATCCTCTTTCCTATTTGTATCTTTTTATTTACTTATGTATTCACGTAACTTACTTGTATGATCTTAATGCGAATGATTATTATCAGAGAACAATTGTAAGATCGATGACACCTTCTCCCTTTTCACATAAATTAACCAATGCATTTATAATAAATAATCACCTCAATTTACTACTGATGCATTTTTCATTTCAAGGATGCCGCTATTTCAAACTGGATCAATTTAGGTGCTGACCCCCAAAAAATCATTCTTGGTGTACCTATGTATGGAAGATGTTTTACACTTTCCGATACCAACAACGTGGCTTTGGGAGCACCTTCTAGTGGAGCTGGCACCCCTGGTCCCTATACACAAGAAGCTGGATTACTGGCATATTATGAGGTAAGTAATATTTTATATATGATGGAGGAGCACTCAAATACCATGATTTTTAACAAAGTGTGAATGTACATATCTCCCTTATAAACTAGATTAACATGGCAGCATAAGCTATTCGAAACTCTTGTAGTTAACAGCATACCGTGTCATTTAGTAGTCATTATATAAAAAAGAATTTACTGCAACTTGTAGCAGGGGCGATTTGTACGTCTTCTTCTTCTTCTTCAGCCTTAAGTAATCCACCTTTGGACATGGGCCTCCCCCAAATCAATCCATAAATTTAACACCCCTGGCAGGATTCGAACCTTAACCTTGATGTTTCACAATCACGTATTCTAATCACGACTCTAGGAATCCCCCAAATCAGTCCAGTGTATTCTATTTTGCGCCTCTTACTACCAGTTGTGTCCTCCGATCTTCTTAATATCATCCGCCCATCTCATTTGTGGTCTTCCCCAGCTTCTCGTTCCTAATCATAGTCTGCATTGTTGTATTTCGTGATTCCTTTTGTTAACCTTCAGTCGGGCATTGTGTCCTGCGAAGCTTCATTTTAATTTGGCAGCATGATCTCCTGCGTCTTTTACTTTAATTTGGCTTCTAATTCATTTGTTTGTTTTTTTTGTCTTTAAGTCTCACCCGAGCATTAATTTTTCCATCGCTCTTTGCGCTTTAACTATCTTATCCATTTTGGACTTGATGAGTGTCCACGTCTGTGAGCCAATACGTAAGTATAGGGAGGATACTGATCGTAAATTCTGGTTTTCAAATATTGTTCTATTTTAGTGCTTTTCAAGATCCAACTCAGTTTTCCAAATCCTGCCTCCGCTAATTTTATTTTTCTGGTAATTTCGGCAGTTTGATTAGTATGTACTTGAATTTATTCTGTTATAATTTATGATTAGATGAAGTTGAAATAAAACTAATAGATGTTAGAATGAGGTTTTCCAACAACCGATGTTCAATCACAAATTAACCCCTTAATTTGTAATCTCACATTATTCTTAACTTCTTAATCTTTTATAGTTTCACCGTGTATAAGTTTGCATTATACATATTGCAAAACCATATCGTATGATAATTTAATAATTAGTTCATTTATCTACAACTAAATAAATTGCCGAATAATAATATTTTCTAATTGAACTTCCTAAGTGTCGCAATTAAGGCGTAGATTAAATTGTATTATAAGCAAAAGTTAGGTGGTGTGATATGAACGAAGCAATGACCGAAGGTGCTTATGTATCTATTATGTGTGAGATTATAAATTGGGGATTTGAGTTCAAATGAACACAGTCAATATTGAGTAGTTACCGAATGAACACCATATTGTGTAATTACGAGTTGCTGTCAATAAATCATCACTTTTACTCCACAACTTCAACATTTATTAACCCTATCAGCATCGATCGACGAGAAGCGGACAAAGGGGCATTCACGAACCGAACCGAACTTCAATACTACGTTCGATATTTTCCAACCGAATAATGTATTAAATTAATAAAGTTAACCTTTGTAAAAAATGTAATAAAATTAATTGTAGTATCTAAGAAATGCTAGTAATGGATAGAATAACACATACCTGAATCTTTGGTACTGCTATCTTTAGTACTTTAAATTAAAATCAAACCCAAATTTTAAGGATTCAAAATTGAGGTAGCATTAAAGAATTTCGGTGCCCAACCAACCTCCCCACCAGGAATATTCTAGGTGCGCCACTGCATTGAATTTAGAATCATTTCAAAGTCTTATAATTAAAATTTCATTAATATATATTTACTATTAACGAACTTAAAAAAAAATTTAATTTTATTTACTGTATGTTGTAACGAATTATTTTTTGCCTACCACATAGAGTATTATTATGGGGGTTAAAAATTGGGGACAGAAATTATTGAGGGTGGAGACAGGGCAAGCAAAATAAACGATACTTGTGCGAACGGCACTCAGGGTTTGTTTGGAGAGCTGGGGTCGTGGATAAGTAAATGACAAGGGGGTTAGATTGGGGCAACTAGAAAAAAATGAAACAAAGGGGTACTAACGTGAATCTCCTGGGACAAACAAAACAAAACACAGGAAGGAAACACCTCAAGCAGACATTTCTAGGTGCCAAATTTACGATTACAACAGCTAGGTGTAACTATTGAAATAATTAATAAAAATAATAAAAAATATATCGTTTCAAATGAAATTCAAAAAGGAGGTAGAGAGTTAGTCATGATAAATAAACAAATTGGTTTAAAAAAATTAATCATTTATTGTGTCTTACCACAAATAAATGGCACAAATTACTATATAGATAGTTACAGAGATTTATATAAAAAATAACAAAGACAACTTACATGCCATCTGTTTACAAGCTCTAGGAGTTGGAGATATTACATAACTTACAAAAAAATCTCTTACAAAAGAAATATCTTTAAAATGAAACTATTCATAGACAGGGTAACCTTCTTTAAAAACAAAACAAACTAATCTCAAAAAAAATAAAACTAGCTGTCATATGTTAACATTAAATTTTAAATCTAAGAACAAATACATTGACAGCTAAAGTCAAACACTAAAATGTACAATTTTGAATATTAAAACTTTTAAATTGTATGAAAGCAATTATTATTTTAAAAAAAATGTCTATCTTTACGTTTAAAATCTGATCACAAAAAAAGTTACCTAGATTTCACTATAATTACACTTGAGTTGTAAACTGGACTTCTTAAAAACTCAAAAATGGCTGGGAATCTCTGATACACGAACAAAAAGGAAGTTCCAGGGGCACTGGAACACAAACCTTGAAAACTAAACTGCACTTGGCTTCTTAAAAACAAGAATAGGTACGAAATAGGAATTCGCATGACTTGGTATAAACAAAACACTTAACTGAAATATTTATTTAAAACACAGAATATGAAACGCAAAAGAATACCAAGGAAGTACACATCTGTAAAATATAAACAAACTCTAAAATGGTTTATTATCGACTCGGTAACGCTAAGATGAATTGAAAAAATTCGGTGTTTTAACACATATGAATATGAAATAAAATACATTAAAAATATTCTTCGATTTTTTAAACAAATACGAGGGGATTTCAATTTAATACATATACGAGGGGATTTCAACATATACCAAGGAATTTATATATCAAGGAATTTACAAATGCTAGAATGTTTGACTAAATTTATAACAATCTTGTTTTGGGAGCTGCAGTCTTTGATTATATTGTTCTTTTTGACAGTGTTCCAGATATTAATCCAGATCTTTAAGTCTATATACTTCTTATACCAAAACAATATAAATTGAAAAGTAGATAAATATGCGTGTATTAGAGCGATATGGATAAAAGGGAAGTAAGCGTGTGGTGTGTTATATAACAGTCAGTGTGTCAGATCACTAATTTCAGCAAAAGATATATTTAAACGTTTATATTCAAAAATAATTTTAATAAAATAAGCTACTTTTAGATAGTTGAAAAACAATCAGAAGGAGGATGGACCTATGTTTGGGATGAAGAACAGCAAGTCCCGCACATATATAAAGGAAACCAGTGGATAAGTTTTGACGACCCAAAATCCATAACGAAAAAAGTAAGTGTTTTAAATTAAGTTTTATGCTAATAACAAACTTTAAATGCAACATTCCTTATTTTTAGTGTAACACGTTTATTTTGATAATACAGTAGTCTTTTTTATAACGATTTTTATAATGTTTGTTGGTTCGTCACAATGTATTAATTCTTTCTCTAGACCGATATCGTTCTCTCTTTATAGCGATGACTTTTCAGCGTTCAATAGTATATGACAAATGTGTTGTTGTGTTTAAACTTCAGACTATCGGTCACGAGTGGCAAGGTCATTGACCAGCGGTTGTTTTGTTTTGCGCTTAATGAATGCAGCCATCCATTTTACTCATTCTTATCAAGGGGTTAATTGATTCGCTTTTATTGTTCAACCGGCGTACCTAACTGTTATAACACACATGTTGTTATCTATTGACGACTTTTCATTTACAGTTTGAGTTGTGTCCCATTGTGTCAACAGTCAACATATTTACGAAAAAGCGTAAAGTGCTCTCGGCGAAGAAAAAGTTTTCGATAACTCGAGCAATAGAGAAAGGTAAAAAGCAATCGAATATCGTTCGCCGTACGAGGCTCTCTCAGTCAACTATGGCTACGATATGGAAGTACAGAAAAAAGTGGCTTGAAGCGGAGGTGGAGGGCGGTAGCAGGAAGAAGTTGCGGAAACCTCAGTGCGAAGATTTAGATCGCGCTATGCTTCAGTGGTTCCAGCAGCAGCATATGAACCATATTCCACTTTCTGGGTCTGTGGTCAGGACAAAAGCAAGTTTTTTGCAGCTCAGCTTGGAATCGAGAATCGAGAATTCAATGCATCTGAGAGTTGGCTGAGCAAGTGGAAGCTGCAGCACAAGATCAACTATCGGCAAATCAGCGAAGGGGCTCGCGATATTAACAAAATCATCTACGGACCAGAAGTGCTAACAGATTTTGAAGAAGTTGATTAAAATGTAGCTAAAACATCTGAACTTTCTGACGAGGACATCCTACAAGCAGTTCGTGTAGAAGAAGAAAACAGTGACCCGGAAATGGAAGCATAGCCAGAAACAGCTCTGACCCCTCAGCAGGTATTGGATGCGGCATAAGTACTACATCGATTCTTCATCCACCAGGAAGACGATATGAGTGCTGTGGAAGATTCTATGCATTTTCAGGACAAGATCAGGTCAGTTATGTGGAAAGGGAAAAGGAAACAGACCAAGGTGACAGACTTTTTTGGTAATGTAGGCTAAATATATTTTACAGTAGCATATTATGTATTTTGTTATTGTAAAGTACACATGTTTTAATTGTACAGTCATCTTTTTCATACTGTATTGCATACATTATTTTTTACTCAATCTATGTAGTGTACAATACAGTGTTAATTCATTTATATTCGTTTTGATAATTTTTTTAAATTAAAATAAGTTATTTAGTACAATATTATTAATATTGCAGTACCAAATTTTGTCTCTTTTTGTATAACGATCTCTTCTTATAATGATGAAAATTCCCGGTCCCTTGCATATCGTTATAGAGAGGGAGGACTGTATATTAATTCAGTCCTTTTTTATTTTAATATAGATATAAAATTATTTATTTGTTGTTTGGAACTGATTGCTTCTTATAATCTTATAAAAGTATTATAAATTATAAAGTTACAATTAAGTACCTACATCATACAAAATTGTGAAATAATAAATAAATAATGCGGTCCTAAAATAATGCAGTCCTATAAATGAAAAAATAATTATTAAGTCTATTTGTAAACATGATAATACTATTTACCGATATGATGTCTTGATCTAAATTATTTCAGATACTTAACAAATATTTTATTTAGTAGGTAAGTTTATCCTGGACCTTGCAGTAGTCTGTTACCTCTTTAATTTTTAACTATTTACGGCGTTTAACATATATTTTAAAATACGGAAAGACATAATTCGAGCAGGACGTCGCTGCTCGAACGTCATAAGGTGAGTCATGGAGAGTATATCTTCATAATTATTAGGTCTTAAGCTTGTCGCTCACTTATGCACTGCACCGCGAAGCGAAGGGCGGAGAAAAAGGTTGTTATAAGTTTTCTTCATGTGTCATGTAGGTAAATATTCTCGCGCGTATCTGTGCGAAGCAACGCGCTGCACGGCGAAGAGAAGGTACACGGATCGCAACCGTAGAATCCTAGGCGAAGAAATTCTGTTCGGCGCGCTTCGCATTGCACTGGTGAGCGGAGGTTTACGGAAGTCATGCGGAAACTTCCGAATTTCGTTTGTCATCGACTACTTTTGACGTGTCTCGTACTGAAAAAAAGTACCCACCTTCACTAATATGTGCTAATATCGCTAATGTACAGTTGGTTGGTATTTGTATTTTACACCTGTAGGTACTGATCTAACGTGAAGACAGTATGGATGACGAAACATTTGTTTTGATTGTTCAAAATTATAAAGAAGTGTATGATGTTTCGGATCAGAACTACCACAACCAGATGAGAAAACACTACTACAACCAGATGAGGTTTTGTATTCTGCAGTAGATTTTTTTGTCTTTATTTGGTTGCCATAGAGCGACGAGTTCAGTAAATTTTTTCTGGGCTCATTCTATAATATGATGGGTATAATATATATGGGTATGAGTATGTTCAAAAAATGTTTTCATGTTTGAGCAAATCGCCATGAAAGTGATGAAATTTTCCGTTAATTTCTCTTTTTAAATTTATCTTACGAATCCAAGGTTTTATTTTACGATTCATATTCTGTTCTTTTTACCTAGCTACTGCACATGCAATAACAAAGTCTTCTTCTGAACTGCTACTCGATGTCATTACTTCAAAAACTATCGTACAACACCTGTTTACACACCTACTTCAACGCCAAACTATAACTGCGTTTGATTCCAAACTAACAACAACGTACTGTACCTCCTCATATATAAGCTAAAAACCGTGCAAATATTATTAGCGCTCATTTCTAAACTTCGTCGCGCCGCGCCGTACTTCGCTTCTCTCTGCTTCTCCGCGCTTAAGTGAGCGACAAGCTTTACACGGCCGGCTGCCAGTCTTGTGCCTTAAAGGTTGATTCAGACACATCAGTCACAGTCCTGGCGCCGAACCGAACAATCCGTCATACAAAATATTCTTTAATAGAAATATGGCGCCGGCATTCACATTCATCAGTTGAAAAACAGTTTGCCAGCTGTCAGATAGTTGATAGTTCTGTGACCAACCAGGACCGGTTCGGCGCTGAGACTGTGACGGGACCGATTTGTCTAAATCGACCTTAACGCTGAACATTTTCAAGGAAATTTAATCGCGTCTAAGATCTGAACTCCACACTGGTCCGGCAAACTCAAGAATAGGTTTGACGTATATTGAGTAAAGTTTACTAACATAGGTTAGACATATACGTGTAGAACTTTTACGGATCAAAAACAGTTTCTCCAAAAGTTCCAAAGAAAAAGTTTAAGTCGAAAGACAAACCCTCATTAAAATTTCGAGAATTGCCCCAAAAGATAACCAATTATATTGAGAATCACAATTCCAACTATGGTAGTAGTGATGCAATAAGCATTGCTAAAGACTGTACCCTACATATTCCATCTCCTATAGAAATGATAAATGAAATACATTTGCAAGCTGAAAATCGAAATATGAAAATTAAATGTACTAGACTAACTAACAAATTAACTAAACAATTGCTCGAACATGCTGGTTCATCTGACTTAGACAGTGATATATCTCAAAACTAATTATTTAAATGAAAATATAATTCATATATAATAATATTTTATAGTGGAATTTAAACAGTTTTCAGACCCGCCTACGCTTATTTCAGGTACTTATTATTAAATATTCACCTATTATATGTCTTCAAGAAACTAATTTTAAAGACAACAATGTCTATTACTTGAAGTCATAATATAATGTTTACAATCAAAATAGACAGACAAATCATGCTAGTGGCGGTATTGCGATATATGCTAAAACCGATTTACAAGTAGGGTAAAATGTGCAAATCGCGGTCACTTAAGAAGAAAATTTAATATAAAAAAAAGTAAAACTCTGTGAATCAAATTTAAGCCGTCAATCCGTAATTTGGGGTTTTAACTTATTGCAAGACACATTCAATTTCAAAAATAAAAAATTTTTGTCTCTGACAGAGACAAAACATAAAAAAGTATCTTTGACCGGTATTGTCACCATACATGGACAATACTGGTCATGAGTGTGGGTAATGCCAGTCAATTTGTTTGTTTTATTATTAAAATAAAAATTAATATATATTTAACATTTTTTTGTTATAAAACGATTAACGAATGTGGCTTAATGGGTCATAATTTATATAAATAAGTAAATCAGTAAGAAAGGTGAAAAAATATTTTTTATTACAAAACAAACAAAAATATGTTTTAATGTAAAAATAGTTGACAGTCATCGCAGGTATAACTCTCTGCAGAATCTTATCCATTGCACTTTGAATAAGCCCATCGTGAGCAAATCGTAAATTTATACCACAATTCATTGTTTTTGCCAAACTCGCTGTAAACCAGGCATCTATCTTCGTATGCATCGTCATTGTTATCACATGGTAAATCGATATCCGATTCCGAAGAACTAGAATCAAACACCTTTTTCTTGTAATTGGCATTAATGAATGCCAATTACAAGAAAACGGTGTTTTATTACAAGAAAAATTATTTTGTAAACCCAAATGCTAATTTTCTCAGTTCTATTGCTGTTACGCCATAAAAAATTAAGCTAAATATTTTTTTGTGTGGCTATTTTAGCTTCTTGTTCGGCAGAAAATACTGATTTTCTACCTCATGAGACACCTTGAAGATTTTTGTTTTTTATTCTTTCTTGCAATGTCGAAAAATGGATGCATTAATCCCTAAGGATTATTAGTATAGGGTATAAATTATAGCATGAGGGTAATACCGGTCAACTGACCGGCATTGCCTCCTGTTGGCATTTTTTTTTCTTAGAATTTTTTACTCGTAAACATGTATTAACATATTGATCTTTAAAAAAGGAATAGGCAGCTAACGTCATTATAATCAATTGTAACCAATTTTAAGATCTAGTGAATAAAAATGCATTTAGACCTTATATTACTCACCATAAAAATAAGATCGAAACCACTGTTTTCAGAAACCACTAACCTAAACAGTTAATAATATTTCTATGACAATGGTTTGTGCCAACTCAACGATCGTCACCAATCTGAATACAGAGTAGTGTAGCGACACGTTGGCAGTTATAGGAGGTTGCCAGATTGAATAGATTTAGCACAATCGCGATGACCGCCATTACCCACTGACCGGTATTTGCACAGTTTACCCTAAACACAATCACAATTAATACAAATTTAGAAGCAATAGCAGTAACAATAACAATAGGAACTAATCAAAAAATGAACAGATGTAACATTTATATTCCCCTGAGCCAAAATATCCAAGGAAATGAACTTTCTGACTTAATTATGCAAATTCCATCACCAAAATCAATTTTTGGAGACTTTAACAGCCATAATCTTCTCTATGGGGTTCCTAAAAAAATAACCCAACATAGAAAGTTATTAGCAAACGTAATCAATAGCCTGAATTTAACAATAATGGACAACGGAGCTAAAACTCGTTGTTTCGACGCAGCTACTGGAAATTTTTCAGCAATTGACTTGTCAATTTTTGACCCATCGACATTACTAAATTACACATGGCAAACCGTAGACGATTTATATGGAAGTGATCATTATCCAATAATAGTAACAAAAATGTCCAACCCCACAACAAAAACCAATCCTTTGCAAAAGTGAAAAATTAAGCAAGCGAACTGGAATATTTTTAAAACAAAAATTACTGAAGAAATATGGAATGTTACTATACTTGAAGAAGACATAAACTTAATTTTAAAATTGTTTGAATAGCTTAATTTTAGGATTTAATTGTTTAGTTAGCCCTCCCTACG